TTTTCTTACCAGAATGTCTGCTGGATTCGGGGTACGATGACAGACTGAGAACAAAGTGTGGCAGTTCCTGATCTACTGTCAAACACAGCTACTTCTTGTCCTTTTTTATATATAATTCCAGATAAAATGTTCTTTTTTCTCTTCTGATTATTCAAAGCTGTATGAGAAAGTCAACCAACTTATATGCATAATAAAGTTCAAAGCTGGATTGTCAACCCATAGCATCCTGAAATGATCAGCACAGTTTTCTAGTATTAATCATAAAAAGCAAATCCAGCCATCCCCTCCGTCCAGTCCTGATTTTTCCTGCAGGGTAACAAGTAGCCGTATGTGAGCATCTGTAGCTATTCGGGTTGTCAGGGTCAAACACCTCATTGTTCTCAATAAAATTCCTTTTAATTGTGAGACAAAATCAGAGAGTGACTAAAGGTCTCCAACTGAGTCAAAAGAGAGGAGCATAACTGCTTTAATACTGTTGAAAATTCAAGCAAATCTTTCAGGTCACACCCAAAAAAATGTTTTAATTAATCAGTTAATAGGAACCGAAGGATTCATTCAAATGTCTTCCTCACTATGCCTTACTGTTTACTCCAGTGAGTTTGGCAATATTTAAATGTTTGTGTGGACTGTGGACTGGACTTTTCAGATATTTGCATTCTCTGATTCGATTTACTGTCACACCGCATGGAAAGAAACATTTCAACATTGAACTTTAGAACTGTAGTAAAAATAAAAAAATAAAAAAAGGTATCAGTGCTGTTGCTTTAGAGCATGATGTGGACCACGGTCACTCATGTATGACATGCATGACAACAAGTATAATTGGGATTAAATGTGACTGGTTGATGCACGTGTGCTGATATTGTCAAAGAGAGGAGAGAATGTGCACCGACAGGGCTCATTCAGAAAGTCAGTCTCCTCACAATTTCCACAGGTTTTAATGCAATTGTGAAAATAAGAGAGACAAACTCAAAGCAAATACCACCATGAAAGCCATTGGAAAACACAATGTTGGGTTTTCTTCTGTGCCGACAAAGATTGCAGTAAATGTTGTGTGCTGAAAGCTCAACATTTTCTATTAGCTCATAAACACCCGAATAAAGACTTTTTTCTCTAGATTAAATAAAACACTGCATTGCTTTTTTGTTTGTGCATGATTTTTCCATCTCATGTCTCACTAGGCCGTTATCCTTTCACCATAGCTTGTCCATATATTTTGCATCTGTAACTTACTTAGTAAAGTTAAAATTTAAAAACTGCTAAGTGCAGCTTAATATATCAAATCTGTTTTATTAATGTGTAATTTGTAAACAAATGCATACATGCACTTGTAAATATAAATGCACATATTCATGGATATTGGCAGACTGCTTTCTTTTATAAAAGCAACAGCAACCATTTTCAGGAATAATATCACCTGAAATGTGGAAGCAATTAACATGTCAACACTTTTATCAATGATTATCATTATCATAAAAGCATTAAGAAAAAGATTATGTTTAAAACGAGAACAGCCATTGTCTTTCTCATAAATCAGAAATTCTTAAAAAAAAAAAAAAAGAATATTGTTACAATGCTATTAATCTGTCAATGTCTACAATGTCCTGTTTGGTTTAGTTTTGTCTTGTGTCTATGTTGACGTTACATTTAAGTTCTCTCTCGCTTCGGGTTATTTTTCCTTCCTCTTGTTTTTACCCTTAAATTTGAAAATTTACAATCACTGTCAACCAATGGACATGGGCTCATATCACAATATTAAGGTGTACCACAACGTTAAATTCATGTTGTTCTTTTTTCTTTTTAAAAAAAAGGCCTTTCTCAATAATCCCTGTGTACAGAGAGGCAGTAATAATTAACCACCATCACGACTGCTTCGGATCACTGATTCCTTTTTTTTTTTTTAACCATTTTAAGTTTTGTTGTTTTGGGTTTGCTTTCTTAAAGCATGACGCTTTGCTTTTCTGGCCTGATTTCCTCCAATCATCTGATCCTGCAGTTTATTGGCATGTGCAAGTACTTATTTGCATTGCGTACATATTAAATGCTAAATGGCGATTTTTTTTCTTGTGTGTGCGTGTTGCCATGTATTTTAACATCTATTGGATCTTTTCTTTTGTTTTTTAACTCATTACAATAATGTCATGTCACCTTCTTGTGGAGGTCTTACAAAGCATGCTGTTCATCTGCTAAATGCAATTTATAAATTAAGTTTAATTTTGTCAACATTTTTGCTCGACATATCAGAATTTTTTGACTAAATAAAACAACCAGAAAAAATGTTTTTCAAATCCAGTTAAATTAGCATTTGGCAGGTTGTGAGAATGTGAGGATTTCTTTTTTTTTTTCATCCAACTGCTTTCTTGGATTCCTGTTTACTGATGACCATCACTGAGGTGTATATTCCACAGACCTGATCCCAATCCAGCGACTCATTTGACAAACCTGTTACTTTTAGGCTGGTACAAAAGCAAAAGGCATATAAATGTCAGTGTGCGCGTCATGAAGCTAACCGAGTTCCTTCTCATAGAATTGAAATAAATCAACTATTTGAAAGCCATCTACTTTTTGGGAGCTGACAGGTCTGGTCATGACCTTTGCACAGTATTGAAGTTAGTGTTCTGAATTTCTCTGAACATCAGAAGGCATTTCTTTAGAGAAAATCTTGCTGGATTAGGGCTTTGTCATGGCTGCTCGGTGGTTGAACAATACTTGTTTAAAAATGACAAATGTGATGTTTGACTTGAATAATTTCAACAGTTTATTCTGGAACAGCTGATCAAACACTTAGGTCGTTTGGATTATGTGACCTTTGGTGGTCATGGCTCCAACTGCATGTAGAGTGTAAAAAAACAAGGAACAATAAGTCCACAACATCCAGAACTCTAAACAAGTAATATCAAAAACAATCTGGGTGCTGATGAATGGATAGTTTAGTCTTAATCAGTTTTATCATATCTCATTAATCTTTTCATAGAATTTCTTATCAATAGCTCATATGGAGGATTAGCATTCTAGTATATTTCTTAAATATATTTTCAGAACATTGAATTGTTGGATATTCTGAGAAAGCAGTTTGCCTTTAGGCCCAATCAATTGTCTATTTGCAAATTTATCAAAGTAGTAAAAGTACTCACAATAAATAAAGGAATGTGCTCTGATTATTGGACTGTGGGTTATAGTTTGGGCATTTTCTGTTTGTGTTCTCCACAAACCTCATTTCAGTAATATGTAAAATGTGCCGATTTCTTCATTCTGTGTGTTCTGACCAACAGCATGGTGAAAGTTCAACAAAGTGTTTACTATTTCTTCATTTCTTATCTATTATGGGAAATCCTGACAATTATTTACTGGTCCCCCTACAGAAAAGTCATGTAACCCTGCTTTTTTGTGGTGATTTATCTCCAAACAACATGTGGCTAAGGTGTCTTGGATTTGCTCTCCTGGTTTGGATCCCTGGATTGCTGTATGGTGAGTAAAGTCACATTTCTGCACTCAGAAACATCTGAATTCTCTTAAATTCATAAATATAACACGGGTCCAATGCGATTTTGCTGTGGCTAAACTTTTCATTTTTCTAACATGGTATTTCAGCTCAAAGAGCACCTCCATGCAGCGCTCCCGATCTGAATAAAGGGTATTTCCACCCTGTGCAGGATTCTTATTCTCATGACACCATCATCTATTATGGCTGCGACAAAGGACATAAGCCTGCTGTGGAGGGCTGGTGGGCCACTAGCCGATGCCTAAATGGCAAATGGACCCATGAACCAAAGTGTATAGGTGGGGATTTCATTTATTCTAAAGCGTTTTGTGTTCCTTTAGGGTTTCAAACCTGGGTTTGAAAAGCCTTTGAGGCATCGACCAAGTATAAAAATGCTAATTCTGTCATTCCTTAGATGAAGATAGCTGCTTCGCGCCGAATATTGACAATGCAATGCCAGTGGAGGGCTTGTACACTGCAGGGCAGAAACTGCAGATACAATGCAAAAGTGGATATGAACATGAAAGCAGAGATAAGACGGCTGAGTGTATGAATGGACAATGGACCAAAGTGCCGGTCTGTAGGAGTAAGTCTGTTGGATGTTTTTTTTTTTTTTTTTTTTAAGCAATAGGGCACCTTATCTTATTTCTTCTCGTGATCTTTGTTTCTTTGTTTTTTTTTATTTACAGAGCGCACAGGTGCATGTGAAGCTCCGCCTCAGTACCCCAATGCAGTCATCATTAATCACAAATACCAGGAGGTGTTTGATGAAAACAAAGAATTGCAATATCAGTGTAGAGATGGATATGTTGGAGAGAATGGAGCCAAAACAAAAGCTGTTAGGTGCAATGGTGAACAATGGGAAGGCGGCCCAAATTGCGGTAAGTGGAAAATGTGTTGATCGATGCTTGCTCACTGATACTTCTGCAACTGAAATGTATCTAAGTTAAACGATTGTCATTATTAGCACAGGCAGAACATATGGTGCATTAAACTACAAGAAATCACATGAATTTTGGTCTTGAAAACTATTGTGGTTATTTTGTGCAAACCTCACTTTCAGAAAAGCGGGGCAAGTCTCTAAAATGCAACGTAAACTCACATTTTTTATTAATCTTTACTTAATGGATTTAAAAACAAGTATATTTAGACACATTTTGTAATTGAACACCATGGTGCTGTCAGGTTATTGATTTTGTTTATGTTTTGCTTTTTGCCTGCAATCCACACTGATGATTTAGAAAACATAATAACCTTGAATTATTGATCAGCGGAAATTTTGCATTTATTTATTGATTTATGTTTTCCAGTGCGCTCCTCCAGCCCAACACCCACAGATGGAAACATTAAACCAGCTATTACAACAAGTAAAAAAATATTTTCTAAATGATTACTTTTTCTTTTATATTACATGTGTTGGGAAATGCTTCCACCGGATGGATTATTTGGCTGTGTTATATGAAAATATTCCCAACATTTTTGTTGAGAATCAAATTGTTGGATAAAAAAGGGAAGCTGATGGAGCCCGGTTTAAAACAATGATACACCTGTTTTTTCTTTCCAGTTGATAAATGTGGACAGTTCCCCGTAGTTAAGGACGGTGTTAATTACCCGGTTGGTACTCGTTCTTTGAGGTTTGAGTGTGCAAAATATTATAAACTAGAGGGTCCAGAGCAAGTGATGTGTTACAGTGACGGCACATGG